TTGAAGTGAGAGGCTACTAATTTATATTGTGATGTTGCTCAACTCCTGCGTGAACCTAAGCAATTTTCAGACACATGAACAATTAATTAGCGTCTTAAAAGCCTAATATTAATTGTTGTATATATGAATGTTAACTACTACCAAGAGTTATATGAGAATATATGTATATATATATATATATGTGTGTGTGTGTATATATATATTTCTAACCTTCATGAAAATTGCATCTGCTGGAGGAATTTCATCAAACATGTCCCCACCAACAAACTTCAAGTTCGTACTTCCCTGCAAATCAGCAATAACATGAGGTAGATCAAACACAGTGCATTCTACATGAGGAAATGCATCTGCAATGGCCTTGCCCACCGTCCCAGTGCCTCCTGCAAGATCAACCAAGGATTCCAATCCCTCGAACACCGATATGCGCTTATCGAACAGCACACTCACGACCAGTCGCGCATCACTAGCCATCGCCTCATTGAACACATTTCCGAACCTAGGATCACGCACAGTATAGTCCCAAAATTCCATCCCATGTGTTGTGGCAAATGGAGTAGGGTCATCACTTTGGAGCCAAGTGCTAATAGAATGCCAAGGCTTAGTCATAATAGGGTCAAGCACGGTAAGCAAGATGGGTGTGAGACTGAAGGGATTGTCCCTAACAAGCAATTTGGAAGAATTTGTGAGGACGTAACCATCTTCCAATTGGTCAGTTTCCCCGACGACTTCTTGAAGAGAAAAGAAGCTGGAGTTGACCAAGATGCGCATGAGGCGGTAGATCAAATGAGAATCAAGCTTTTTGTTTTGGTGGATTGGCAAGGCGGATATAAGTTGGGAAAGCGTCATGGGTTTGCCATGACTATGGATGGCATCCGGTATACCTAATTGAATGGCACATTTGAGGGACATGGAGTTGATGAAGTTGAAGATTTGGTTCCAAATGTGGGCTTGAGCTTTAAGTTGTTCAGTGGCACCGACTTGAAGATCATGCCCAGAGCTTCTTACTTTCTCCATGTTGTTTTTGGTTTTCTTTGGTATTATTTTGAGCTATGTATTTATGTCGATATTTATAGAGATTCTTATATGCGATGACATTCAGGCATTTATTAGATGGATCGATGTTGTTTTTCTTGCCTAGGTACATGTTTCACGTAATAATGTATCATCTCATAAAGTAATTAAAATATGAGAAAAGCACATAGTTTGTAATTTTTTTTATCTAATCATAACATTTGTAACATTCTAAAGTATATAAGTTTATGCCATTTAAAATTATTTCTTCTACAGATTTAATAGACGGCATATTTTCAGTATGCCACTTCCATGGCATAAATATTAGTTAGCCTTATAATGAGTGGTATGTTTGGTTTTAATTGTTACATAGTTATACCATTGTTCCTTAAAAAAAAAAAAAAGAATTATTATTATACAAATTTCCCCTCCTAAATTCGTTGGTCTTTACATAGCCCTACTTAATTAAAAGTAGATTAATTGTTTTTCCCTAAAAAAAAAAAAAAAGATTAATTAATGTTCCCTTGGTATTCTTGGTTTTGGATTAGTGATAATATTTTAACGAGAATTTCCTAATAAAGAGAAGGTGCAATTGACAGCAGGAATAATTTAATAGGAAAATTGAAGCTGTGTGTGTTGGATAAAATTTGACAATTTTTTGTGGTCCAAAGTAGTTTTTTTCTTTTTCTTTTTTTTTTCCTCTCTTTTCTTTTCTTTTCTTTCTTCTTTTTTTTCATTCCTTGGTATTCATTTCCAACTCTTTAAGCCACACGCTGAACGCAGAGGGCATGGATCGGGTTTTCCTTTTGCAGTAGCCTTCTCAGAGAGAAAATAGAACCAACGATTCATCCATTTGAAAAATTTATCAATGAAGGTAAAAAAAATAATCCAAAGCAAGAAATAATATAATACATTCTTATATAGAAAACATAAGAATAATATAAAAAAAATACATACTAAAGGAGAATGCATGATGTTGCCTAACACATGATATGAGATAACTCTGGATGGAACATTTTTTTTCCACCCCCTCCAATTCTCCTTCAAATTCTAACTTTTTCTCCTGCTCCAGCTGCTGCGGATGCAAGTTCTGAAATGCGGCTAGAAACATGTAAGTATTATATTTATACCTAAATAATTAATTAGTGTCAATCTTGGTTCTAGTAAATATTATATTTAAAAATAAATACTAAATTAGTTTCATTCTTATACCTTGTAAAAACTATATTTACACGTAAGTACTTAATTATTTTCAATTTTTGCAGCTGATGATTCAAGAAATATTAGATACATATGGAGAATTTTAAGAAATGAAAAAATATCCTAGCACAGGGCTTTGTCTTGAAGCGTTAGATTTTTTTTATATAAACAAAATTGTTTGTTTTGCATATTTTTTTCTTCTTAATTTCGTTGTAATATTTATTTGATTGGATCTAACATTTTCAATTCGGTACTAGCAATAATCTATCGTATTTTTTTTAATTTAATACATTGCATTTTGAGGATATAAAAAAAATCATGCCTTATATTTTTAGATTGTATCACATTAATAGTTTCAGATTTCAAAATTATGCTCCATTCTTGCATTTCATCAATCAACGGTCAATTTAATCACAAAACATATCCATATATCCTTAATAAAAACAGAATTAGGAAAAAATTACAAAATATTTAAAATCTATAGATCTTTGTCATAGTCAAAATCGAGCTCAAACCTAGGAAAGGTAAGAATTTAACATAAATTTAGAATATGATTATATAAATATGATGTAGCCCAAAATATAAGATATCATAAAAGACATTACAATAGCTCATGACTAAAATGACTAAAATTGTTTATAAACACATTTAGGGATAAAATAAAAAATATAAAAGTCAGTGGGAGCGTATATATAAATATAAAATTTCAGTAGAGGCAAAATATCAAATTTCAGTAGAGGCAAAATAAAAAGTAGAACTTTTTAAGGGCTCAAATTTTAATTTTTTTAAAAAAGTGAGTGCGGCCCACTCGGCACCATATACCTCCGTCCCTCACCATAGATGAGAAGACAAGTGATAATTAGTCGGTAGCCAGTTCAGTTCAGTTGAGTTAGTTGGCTTTTATTCGACTTATGTAAAGTGAACACCATATGTTTTTTCTTGCTTTTCAATCATCACCAACACCATATGTATTCTCTTTTGTTTTTGTTACTTACAGTTATTTTCTTACCTTTATTTTTTAGGGTTTACTAACTTATTTAGGGCACTAGAACTATATAAATTAATACTACCATAAAAGGAAGTACATATATTGTTTTTTAGTATATATATATATAT